CTTTACGAAAATAAAACACGTTAAATCGGATTGGACATGAGAAAGAAAGGCACAAAAATGGGAAATCAATTAAGATATCCAAGCGCGGTTTTCACCTTTCAATTTTTTTCTAGCAGGTCGAACCAGAGACATTTTAATTACTTTTTGTCTATCTCTTAGGAACATACGAGAATTCCTTCCAGTGTGTATAAATTGGTACGCCCTTTCGACGACAGCTACAGTAATGTAAACTTAAATAGGATGCTTCGGAATGTTACTTATTATTTTCGACGACACTTTCATTTTGTTGACAAACGTTTTTGGAATTATATCTTAACTTAATACAATACCACGATAAAGTGCGCAACCTTGAAGGAAATATTCATCAGGTAAAGTAAGCTATAGAAACAGTGTATAAAGAAAGTTGCAACGTATAAAAAATATATTTTATAACTGTAAGAATTAAAATCTGCCGAAAAATCTTTAATTACATTTATTGACTTACAAGTTAAATTTAAAAATAAGTTGATAGATCGGGATTTCAACGAAAAGTCGAAAACCACAAAATACTGTTGCAAATATTAACTGACCTTTTTTCAGAGACGGTTAATGTTAATTGAGAACAAGGGGACCTTTTTGTAATATTTTCAAGTCTTTAACATAATATAATATTTTATGAAAATGCCAAATAAAATGGTTACATTCAATTATATTCGAATTAATATGAGTCATCACCTTTAGGGATTCAGAATACTGTTTTTTTCGTGGGTGTAGTTTGTTATCAAATTTAAAAAAAAATCACTTAACTAAAAAATAAGTTCTGGCAAAAAATGTGTTACGTAGTTCTGTTTATACTGATTTTCGATAAAAAAAAATCGAAAAATATTTTAATATTTTTTTTTTGCTTTTTTTGGAAAACCTTCCGGACATTGAAGAAAACAAAATCCAATTGTTTCCAGCACGATTCAGCTTTTCCGTCCTATGCTTCTGTTCGTCAACTTTTAAATAAATTAAAATTAAAGTTGATGGCCCAAACCAGATTTCGAATCCAATTCATACCGTTTTTTGAGATTTTTGTGCAGTCTGTAATCAATTAAAAAACAGGTTTTTTTTTCAAAACTACCCTTTTCCTTCTCTGAAAAAAATTTCAAAAAATTTCTCTGTACGACAATTTGTCGTCGAGATATCGTTGATTGAAGACAAAATGATCCTTTTCCATTAAAAGTCCTATATTTCGATGAAAAATAATCGTATCGAAATTAAAAAAAAAAAGAAATTGAAGCTGAATAAACAAGCTATCTGGTCCATGCAATGGCTTAGCTGAAAAAAATTTTTCCAAGTCCGTACTCAGAAAAACACAATTTGCAAAATTTTTTTGTCGCTCTATTTCTTAGCTCCTAAAAATTTCGACCGAAAGATCTAAAAACTAGAATCTTAGAGCTTAAAATGCTTATTTTTTTAATTCACCTATATACAGTCCATCAAAAATCACGGAAAAATTTCGGAAATTCTTTTGACCCTTTAATTTTTTGCATTAGTGTAGATATATGTCTAGTGTTTTGGGTGCACTTTATGATGTTTCACGTTAACTATAATTTCATATAACGATATCTTTGTCCGCTTTTCTATTGGGAACGTTTTGTTTGTATCAATAGACGTAATTGCGCTGAACGCAAACAAATATCCGCCGTATACAATGGGTAGATTATATATTGAATACATTACATGTTTCAAATAACAATTAGATTTTAACTAATGCCGAGCTTTTAGAGGATATAATCCACCACTTCTACGGTTATCTATAACACTGTCCTCACTTCCTAGTATAACGAAAACGCAATAAATAAGTTGAAACGTTTATATGAAAAGCAGGAAGGTTTCGATTCACATCTACAGTATGTCTACAATCAGCTGGACACAAAGCTCTGCAATCTTTATTTTGTGAAATAATTTGAAACATATTTTATTTTGTTTTTGTTTTGAAAAGGCAATTAAATTCTGCACTATTGAACATTTTAATGCTATCGGATGTGAATACAAAGAGTACAATTTTTGACATTTTTTAGCTTATTCATTTAGGGAGCATTTAAAAATAAAGACAACTACATTATAGTAACACCTGGACAAACAAATCGCAAAAAAATGGCAGGCATAGACAGTTTTAAATCTATCCTTTTTCTCTACAAAACAACTATCACTGACTGCAATGATATACAGGGTGCTTACAAACCTAGAAAGGATATTAAGAATATATATTTTGAATACCTACTAACTTACCACAATAACACAAAGGAACATTTTTGGAACCGCTGTACAGTTAACTCACACCTAACCCAAAATCACAAAAAGTCTACAGCCAATCCAGCTGCACATTCTTATGAACATAACAACACTCTACCAAGTCGTTGTTATACATTTTTCTATCTACAAATTCACCCCCCTCCCCTTCCTTATGTGCCTTGAAAAACTTAGATTTTACGCTAAGTTCACGTAGAAAGGTCCAATCTTCACAACATCAAAATTGCTCTGATCGAACTAGGCCTGGGCGCAGCGGACGCAAACGAACATTTGTTACACTTTGGAGAGTTATACCCTCCCTTGGTGACTTCATAAAATAGAACGATTATTAATATTTGTTTTACTTCATTTTGTTCTGTTTCTGAAAATTTATTTGATAGTTGTGTTTCTGTTTTGGTGGGTATTTTCGTTTTGTATGGACATAACAAAATAAATTGTCGAATAGTTCAATTGATTTAGAAGATATTAAAAAAATATATATTGCCAATAAGTCATCAACATGATATATTTTCTAAACATTAGTTACGTAGGATCAATGAGTATATCTATTGAAATAATTTTTTTAAATAGTTTTGAGGAATTTTTTATGTTTTTGTTATAAACGCAACTATGAAATTACGCACTACTGGAAAAAAATTAAAGGAACAAAATATTTTCAAGAATTTTTTAGTTATTTACAAAGAGATGTATTTCAATAAGAAATGGTCGTATCGAGATTTAGAAAAAAACATTTTGAAGCTTTAAGTCTGTAGTTTCAAGATCTTTAAACAACATTTTTCTTCGAGCTACGGTTATCGAGCAATCAAAAGAAATATCTCGAGAAAAAAATTTCCAATTTTTTTCTTTTTAAGACTCCATGGAAAATTTTTTCAAACTCGATCAGTGCAGAGGTTGGCTTATTTATTCACCTTTGATTTTAAAAGGTCTCCATGCGCCTTTAGTTGTCGAGTTATTGATGATTGAATGAAAAATAACACATTTGTCTTTAATTATGAATATCTCTGCAAGAAATGACTGCAGAGAAAATCCAAAGGCTGTTTTTGGAAACTTGAATAAATTCTCCTCAAAGACCTGCCATGGTTTTCGAAGAAACCGCTTTTTTATTATCTCGATAGGACCGTTTTCACTGATATACGGCCATTCGAAAACATCTAAAATATTCATGAAAATTTTTTGTTCTTTTAAAAATTATTTTTAAATCTTTTCCAATTAAACACTTTTTTATAGCATAAAATTAAATTGTTATTATCTTTTCGGACGATGCGTTGGTATAAAATGGATTATAAACACAATTCTTTAAAAAAATCTGCAAATATTATGTTTCTAACACTACTTTCCTATGTATTCACAGTGTTGCGACATTTTTTCTTATTTATGTCTTACATTTAAGTTAAGGTGGCTATAAATATATTACATTTCAATTGAAAGAGTTCCAAAAATAAAAATACATTTCCATTTTCTTCAAAATAACATGTAGCTGTGTGCAATTGACAAGACAAGCAGTTTAAAAATATTGACTGGCATCTTCTTAGCTACTTGTTTTCTTATTACCTTCACTTTTATGACAAATGCAAACTTAAATAATTAAGTACTCGCCTCAAATTACTGCAGTATTACGCACCAGTTTTTAATGCATAAAAGAATTAATTTCGCTTATGACGCGACAAATGTGAGCTCTTTAACAAATATAATAGTTTATTTTGTAAGTACTAGATGTAGAAATAATGTATTAAATGTTTTTAAAAATAAAAAAATAAAAAACTGAAGATCCAAGTGAATAATTAAACAAAATATAAATTGTTAATTGGAACTTCAAAGGTGGGTTGTTAATGACATAATATCAGTGGCGCCTCAAAGAAACTTTCGTAGGGAAAGTCAAAGTACAAATAACGATGGTAGGTTTCTAAGAATCGCTTCATAAAAATAAAAATTGCCTTCTGTTTACAAACATTCCTATTCCTAGAATCTCGATGGCAAAAAACTGTAAAACGAGACTTTCTGCAATAATACCACAAATAAAATAGTAATTTTATATCAATAATTTTCTGCCACACATTTTTATGTAAGTTGTAGTAATCTGTTGCTGTACACACTTCAACACATCATAGTAAATAAAAAACTCGATCTGTCTGCGAATTAGATTAAGTATTGTTTACTATCAGGTCGTAAATTATTATTTTAGTAGATTCTGTTACGATATACAATGCAGAGTAATTCCTTGAACGCCTGATAAAAGATAAATTTTTTTAACCTTAGAAAATATTAGTTTTCGGACGTCAAAATATTTTTTGTGCATATTTATTTAAAACACGATATTCCGCAATAAAATATTTCTCTTTCGCCAATTGTTTGACCTTGATAGCTTCCTAGTCGGGTAAAAACAAGTCGGTTTCGACCTATATATGTAAATTAACGAATTACTAAAATTTATTGCTCCGTATAACAAAACCATATAATTTATATGTACATGTGATTTACATTCGTGTTAAGAAGACTGGAATTTCAAATTCAACTTGGAAAAAAACCGAACGTAGTTGCTAAGTGTCAGCAAACGTTTTTTATTTAAAAAAAACTGACTTAAGCAGTCTCCTAGTAGTGAATAAATACTTAACATTTAATAAAACTTCGCAAGCAAATTGCGATATACTTCGACGCATTTAAGTGCAAAAACCGGTAAAATAACCTCAATGTCAAACACAATTAACAAATAATTAAATACATACCTTTTACGTTGCAGCAAAATCACCACCAATCGCTACTTCTAGTTTCTACACATTTTTAAAACGTCAACGATGGTTTTGTCCTTTATCTCATTCCATACCACACCTCGAAGAATATTTAAACACTGTTTCTAAATACACATTCGAAATTGGAGTTCATTTCAAGTTACTAAACAGTTACAAGCATAACATTTGACGTAACGCGCCCGATACTGTCAGTTTTTCGAAACAAAAAAGAATCACCGTCGTACTCTTCGATTTAGCGACCGGCTAACAGCACGTCTTCGTTTTTGTTTATGTTTATGTGTGTTTCAACGATGTGCTGAAGTTGCAAGTACGACGCCGACGTAACCACGCGATGGAAGCGTCGTGACTGGTGCAAATTTCAAAGGTGCTTCGCCAGGACGACGTTGCGATTTTAGGAGCTTGCGCGCAGATACTGAGATAAATTGTGATTGTTCCGTTGAGAATTTTTTATTATCCTTTGGAAGGAAAAATCATAAAGCTGATGCACTTAGCTTTCCTGTAAGTTGCAGCGCAAGCTCTGTGTGTTGAAGGTGTTGAACAACTGAATGCTGCATTGGAAAACGATGCAATCGTGATTATTTAATAATTATTTTTTAATATGCAGAGAGTTGTTCTTTATTGAAAAATAATGATTGAAAACATCAGGGAAAAAGTATGTAAAAGCGGTATGGTTACAATAAAGAGACTTTTACATGTGTTCTTATAACTTTTATCATCGATCGTGCAGGAAATAACTACCTAGTTAATTTTATATGAATATTTGTAGATCTACAGGGTGTTCTACAAGCTCTATGAAATTAATGTTGCGAAAAAATTCAAGGGGATTTTCCTTGACCAAAAATAAGAAAGAAAGTTCATATAAACAAACCTATGTCCGAAAATGCTTCGTTTCGAAGATACAGGGTGCTGAAATTTAGAGAAAATACAAGGTTTTTACTATTATCTGGAGAACCCTAATTCCGATTTTTTTGAAATTTGGTATATTTGTTTATAAAAACGGTAGACGTGTTCTGACGTAATTTGATTTATTTTATCTATTCCAGCGGCGTCCGGGGATTCACTCCACAACTTTTTTGTCTCTTTCCTTTTTTCTGATATCTTGCTTCGTTTTTGAGCAAAAAATTAATAGCTTAAGTGTATAATTTTAATAAGTAACAAGCTGTAACTTGCAATTCGAAAAAATTTTCATTACAGACTGCTGTTATTTTAATCCGTAGAATCACCTCCCGGAGTTTCCTGACGAACTTTCAGAACACCCTGTATAGCTTTAGTTGCACTGTTAAACTTTTATTCTGATTCCGATAGATAAAAATTTATTTTTCTTCAATTTAAAATTCCAGAGAATTTTTAAAATATGGAAATGTATTACTTTTTAACATAAAATTTTATATTTTTAAATTCTTTTGTCAACAAATATTTATACTAATTTATTACATTTTTTTCTTTTTAATAAAGTATTGTACTAATTTTCAAAATTAAAGTTTAAGTAAATATAATATTTTATTAAAAATTTCCCATCTACTTTTTTCGAATTTCTAGGGGGGAGACATTAAGAAATATTCAAAATTAACGGCAATTTTTTAAACAAATGAAGAAGAATGATTGAAGAAATCAATACAATTTAATAGAGAACATATTTACTTCTTTACTTCTTAAGAAGGCATCAGAAATGGAATGGAATTTGTTGGAGAAGCTGTGCCGAAAAGAATCCTTGAATCAAAGTTTACATACATATATTACAAGGTGTCTCACTACAAACTCCATCGATGGATGTCTGGGAAACCACTGGAAGAATTTTTTGAAATTATGGTGGTGTGATACGGACCGTGGCCTACCAAGCTAAAATATATTTAAGATCATCGTACTTGCGGTTATACCGGAAGTCGATACTAATTTTCTTATTTTAAATAGAACCCCCTGCATATTTTTATGCAAAAATTGACAGATGCAGACTGTCAGCAAAATTTAGTTTTCCCGGAAACATAGTTTTATTTTGTTATGCGAATCGGACATTTTGTAGAGGACGACCTAATTTATTAGATTTGACTTGAAAATTTTCCAGTTTTTATACAAGGTGGTAAAAAAGAAACATCGAATATCACAGGTTTTTAATTGTCAAATTTATTTTAATAAATGTTCAAAATATCTTGGCGGCCATAAAAACCTGTGACAGTTGTCATGTTGATTATTACTTACCTGTCACGGCAAACCTAAAAAGTGCAAAACACAGGGAAATACCATTTTAGGAAAAGGGAATTGTTTATTCGTGAATAAAATGAAAACGACTGGGTTTAGGTATAAGGAAACTTTAACAAAGTCACTCTCAATTTTAGCACAGAATGCGAATACGTTAAAAAAATTGGTGTGTTCCATTTAATAATTTCGAATTTTCCACATTTTCTGAATTTCATGTTCTCTTTTTTTGACCAGCTTGTATAAAAGCTGGAAAATTTTCATGTCAAATCCGATAAATTGGGTCTTTCTCTACAAAATGTCCGATTTGCACAAAAAATAAACCTGTGTTTCTGGGAAAACTAATATAAATTTAAAATTAAAATATCTCAAAAACGGTCAATCCTTAGTATGGAGTGTGATATATGATTTAAAAATAAATGCTTTCTCCAAAAATGCAATAATATACAGGGGATTCCAATTAAAATAAGAAAGTTGATATTGACTTCCGGTATAACCGGAAATACGATGACCTTGAAAATATTTTAGCTTCGTAGGACCCACAGTCCGTATCACACCACCACAATTTCAAAAAAATCCTAGCGGTTCCCCACATATCCATTGATGCAGTTCGTGGCGAGACACCCTGTATAAAACATGCTATAATAAGGCCGTTGGTGTCAATGCATTTGGTAAGGTTTCTTTGAAATTACAAGATATATCAAGAAAACAGCATTTTCAATAGATAATGGAAATTATGAGTTTCTTAGAATACCATTCGGTCTCAAAAATGCACTTTTACAATAATATTTTCAACATCGTTACACGATACATTGAGAACATAAGATTATTTTTTACAGATTTAGACTAAGTATAAATCGCATTTATAAAGGTTCCTAGTGAAATTACAAAATATACGTTGATAAAACAGCATTTTTAATAAAGGTTAAGCTTGGTTTATCTTTTTACATTTTTGGATAAAATAGTGTTTACTCTTGTTAGGGTGCATAAATAAAAGAACCAGTGTTATTTTTTTGAAGAACTTGACATCCCTTTTTCTCCTGTGCGTATTAATCATCTCTGGTTCTTCATTTCTTTTAAATCATCACAATATATTCCAATAGTACTGATATATTGATGTTTTGATGAAATAAAGGAAGGTATTATTACCTACATACATTTTTCCATATCGAACAATCTGAGTTAAATTGCAAGTGTTCGAACGAAATATTTTATGGAAATTGCCATACAATAACTGCGCGGCAAATCGGAATCCGGAGAAAAATCTTTGCGGCAAACGTTACTAATGGCGGGAGCGCCGGGTTCGCGGCCGCAAAACGACCAAACGCCGGCTTTAGCGATGACTTATGAATAGAAGACTGCAACTACCACCATCTGTCACCTAGAGCAGTCATTATATTCGCGGCTGAAACACCCATTTACTCTACAAAGTACTGTTTGAATTCTCAGTTCGCAGTACTTTTTATTTTGCTCTTTTAGTTACGATTAGTGCGGGTTTTTCCTTATTTATGAATGTAATTATCCACAGCCCGTGAAATATAGGTCCGCTTTAACGCTTATCTTGACTGTGCCGTTCCCCAGGGCACTTCAGTTAATTATTTCGACAAAGGGAAACTTAGTTCAAACCACCTTGAACTACAGAGGAAAGATATGTTTGTACGATGGTTAAAAATGATTTGAAAATTATAGTTTGTTTTNATTTTGATACACACAGTTACGCAGCAATTTTATAGCAAAAGGGTATCTAAAACATTTTTCATAACTTTCTTCTCATTTCGAGACCAACATTGCTCAAAACGAATAATTAATACAAATATTACAGTAAAGATTTTCTGATAATAGTTTTGAAATTGTGCCGATACGATAAGTCGATAAAATATTACCGTAATCTTTATTTTTGACTTCGAATTGAGAAGCTCCAGTCTCAAAGTCTCTGCCAAGGCTGTCACTGCAAATTTACAGGCAGGATATACGTTCATTCCCGTGAAATCGAGAACTTGATGCCCCAAGATACTATTGATGTGTATTATGTGACCATCTACTTTGTTTGCTCTCATATCTCTTACAGCTTCCCTCGTAGCTATGGACAAACCGAGGACGTTGACGTCGAGGGAGTTTCTCCAAATTTCAGTGTCTCCATCTGCGAGTTTTGTATGTCCAAGTATACCAGCATCGTTGACTAGAATATGTACCGGGCCCAGGTTTTCTTTAATCCATTTGAAGGCGTTCAAAATGTCTTCTTCTTTAGTTACGTCCGTTTTGACGGGGTATATTTTACCTTTTTTGTCAGAGAGCTTACTGGCCAAAGCCTCCAAGCGGTCTTTTCTTCGGTCCAGTGCTGCAACCTATGGAAAAATTAAATATTACAAAACTTAATTTACCAGAAATATTCCACAACAGAACATAAGGTGGCCACTTTTACCGTGTACACCATTGATATCCTTGAAGTAGAATATATACAGGGAGAATTAAATTACAAAGTTGCATATTTTTATGCTATTTCCAATTATGAAAAGAAACTGGAGGAAAGTTGTTGCCCGTGGCTTTTTTTTTCTAGGTGGGCCAGAAAGAAAAAAAAGCGCCGCAGGGAAAATTTTTTAAATTTTCAAGGTCAAACGACTAAATGCATCTGGAAATTTTTAGTTGCATTGACAATATTATAGAAAAACTGATGTTCACGAGCAGGATTTTCTTTCATATTTTATAAAAAATAATACGCAATACGCAACTATTTGGATAGTTTATTAATCCGCTCTCAAATAATAAATAGGAATAAATTTCCACCTCATTTTTTATTATGGAGATCTTCGTCTATAGCCCTACTATAACCGTAAATTAAAAAATTATTTTATTAATAATAATATCAGAACTTTAAAAATTGTATTTACAATAAAATTAAGTAACTGAAGAAAACAAAGTGATATATTTACCTAATAATTAATAGGTTAGTTTAGGTTAGGTTAGTTTTAATTATAATTAACAAAATTGTTCCTAATGGGTTTATGAATATTAAAAAATATGAAAACAAATTTTCATAAGGTAGCCAGCCAATTTATCTATTTACATATAAAACAACGCCGCCAGCTTTTCGTTTGGCTTCACTTTTAACAAAATATTTTAAAAACAAAGTGAATGTTTTTATAAAACAGGTTTAATCGTTCGTCTTTTAAATTTGCTAATTTACTTACAATATCTTAAAATTGACGATCGGCACTAAAACTGCAATAGTTATTTTTCTATCATCATTGATAAGTTGTTTAAGCGCTCTTGTTTCATCGTATTTCCTAAGTAGGTGCCTAAGTCCACCGAGACACTTGTTCAGGAATTGTTAAAACTGGGCAAAACAATTTGTTTGTTTCCAAAAATTACTTGTTATTGTTATTTCTACCGTTTTTTAAACTTCTAAATTACGAAATTGTTCGTCTCTGTGCAAAATATTAAGTTCGTTTTTCAACCTATCTATTTCAAAAACGTTGTAATAAACATTTAGACGATTTTTCGGGAAATTTGTTTACACATTTGAGGAACCTATTAAAGCAAAAAAAATTAAATCGTGTAAATTCCCAAAACGAGTAGGTACTTAATTAAAGAGAAATATATTTCGAAAATATTTCTAATTCGTCGCAACTTTAGCCCCGTTTACAGTAATATTTTTCACATAATTAAAAATATTTTTAAATTTTTCTTCTTAATTCAGAAATTCTATCTATTAAATTACGTTAAATTTAGTCTTACTTTGTTTTGTTGTAAGGAAGTTGTTTTTTATTTACTTTAAATTAATACCTGCCTTGTCCTTATCCTTAAAGCCTTTGTACTATCCCTCTCACTGACATCAGACACTACCAGCGTACTATGCGACGCGTACACTAACCGCGAACTGAAATGTTACGAATGGTTTCCACGATTTAAAAGTGGTCGTCAGTCAATTGAGGATGATCGTCGGTCAGGAAGGCCTTCACTTCAACTGATCACTCTAACGTTCAGAAAGTCAAAGATCTGGTATGTACAAATCGCCGATTGACTGTGAGAGAAATTGCAGAAAAGGTTAGAATCCCAATTGTGTCATGCCATGAAATTTTGATTAAACAAAATTGAATATACATCCAGTTGCAGTATTTGTTCCTCATTTGATGATCGCACAGAAAGAAAATCGTATGGCAACTCCTTGATCGATCCAATGACGATGAAACATTAATTTAAAGGATTATAAAGGAAGACAGAAGCTGGGTTTCTGGATACGACATTGAAACAAAAGTTCAAGCATCACAATGTCAAATCAGCAATGAATCTCCACGCTCCAATGTTATAATGATGCTCACTGTTTTTTTAGACTTTAAGTGAATTAGCATTTTAAATTATTGCTTCAAGGTGAACCATGTGTACTATAAAGGCGTTTTACAATGGTTACGTGAAAAAAGAGACCACAGGGAGAGTACTTTGATGGACCAATATTGTATAAAATTAATAATAAAGTTTCTGAACAGACTTCGTAGATTTACCATAAAATAAGCATTTATTTTTAATCTCTTATCACTAGTTCCACAATTTTATATCTTCCGTACATACAGGAATTTTTGCAGTGACGGATATTATAAAAATAAATTTAAGTACGCTATCGCTTTGGGCAAAGTTCACAGAACCCACTAACAAAGTTCGAAAAATAATGAGGCCTGCATCATTAGGATGATAAATTGTTTTTTAACTTTCTAGATCCGCAATTATTTTCTTATTGTGGTTATTTAAGTTTTAGATAAGATAAGGCCGTTGCCTGTAGTCGGGCTTTGTCTTTTAAATTGAGAAAAATTGAGGAAAATGTTTTATACAACAGTTTTTTTAAATTAGGGAGTCCCATTATAGACAGACAACTTCTTTTCGTTGTTCAGCCTAACAAGGCTGTCCCACAAATGCTCTATAAAACCGTGTCCCTTAATTTGACAGGAATAGGATGTTTCCTGACCGAAATTTATACACAAACATAATCAAATGAACCTGAATATAGATAAAGTGGATACATACAGGGTGTCGCGTATAAAGGGGACGTTAAAATAACAAAATAACCTTACTGTTGTAGTCAAAGCATTCCTTCCCAACTCGACAGAAAGCTTGTTGTCCTTCTTACGCATACTGTTGGCTAAACCAATCAGTTCAAGTAACAAGATTTAAGAGCGTTATCAGCGTCGTTGCCTTAGATTAGATGTCGTTGTTACTGCTGTTATTGACCTTGCTGGTGCTGCCGCTTCTGTTCCTACAAAAATTTTATATTAAATATAACCGAAAATTGACATTGAATAAATGTATGTTTTTATACTATTGCAACTATTAGTTCAATATTTACCTGGTTCTCGTAATTTAACTATTTTTAGTTTCAGTTGATTCATCAATAATTGAAGATCTGGAATTAGTATAACAAATACAAAGGACCTAAAAATAATAAATATATAGGTAATAACACGAACACGTTTTATACGTGTTCCGTGCAAATGCCATTTTCTGTTTAAATATTTATGTAACATACGTTTAAATAAATATATATACCGAAATTTTTAAACAAATAGGAAATTAAATATTGGGTTTAAAAATAAATATATTTATTTTCGTTCTCGATGGCAAATAAATGTAAAAGTGGCAGAAAAACATGGAGGATCAGAACAGCTGAAACTAATATTACTACTAAATAATTTTTTATGAAAAGTAAAATAGCGATAAATGGATATTTTCGCCATCTTTTCTCGTTTTCGTGCAATGTCACTAAAATCGTGTTTGCGATAACATAGGAAAACTCATTTCCAGGAATTCCAGGAGATTAATACGGCCTTTTTCCGTTAGATGTCTGTTCAGCTGGAGAATCGTTTTCCTGGATATCGAGCAGCAAATACTCTACATGTTCTTTAAATTTCTTTGTCACATTGTCCATAAATAACAAACAAATTAAAATAATCCTCATTCGTATAATTTAAACTATCCCCAGGCATTTTTTATTTTTATTTTAAATTTGACATATGTCAAGTTATTTGAATTGTTTTTGGAGTGTTTCTGGTCATGGCCAATTTGATAACAGGTCTGATACGAGAAAAACTGTCAAAAAAATAGAAAATTACAAATATCTCTAAACGTAGTAAACGCAACCCTAACAATGCTTATATGACTAGAAAGGAAATGTTAATCTGCAAACGACAGAGTAAAAAATATAGGGTGTTTCATTTAAGTTAACAAATTTATAGATGTTTGAAGTTATCAAAATGTAACAGCAGAAATGAAACACCTAGTATTAAATGTTTTAATTACTTATTATTATTTTGATTTAATCCGAGAATTCATCTCAAAATTGTCGAAGTAGAGCCTTCTTAGTTTTAAATACTTAATTTCCTTTTTTTGTATGATAGATAGATAGAATAGAGAAACTATGAATTATTAAATTTTCAACTGATTTGTAAGATAATTGGAATAATTACAGCTTCAAAATTTGATAAAAAAAAATTGGAAGTGAAATAAAATCCAATAAATACAAAAATTTTAGACAATGGTTAATTCATTATTAATTAATTAAAAATTTGTTACATTTTGTTCTAGACATTACACGTAGAATTATTATTGAATATTATCCAACACATCGTTTCGTCTTTTCTGGAATGCATCATCTTCAATGTTTGAAGAGTTTCCATTTATTATTGACTCTATCCACTGGAAAAGAAAATAAATTAATGTATTACAAATATGAAACAGAATAGCGATAACGAAATAAAGTGGTAAAGGTAAACCTATGTTTACTGCTAGAAATTAAAAAAAAATTGAGATACGCTAATTACAATTATCTCAAAAACTGTAACACTTCATGAAAAAGAATACATATTTTGTCATTTTTAAAATATAAATTTTATTGTAAGCGTAAGTTAGCTAGCAACTAATCTGATTTTGGTGATCTTATTTTTGAATTAGGGGGTTTATTCCGTTTAGTAATGCCTATTAAGTAAAAAAATATAGATATTTCAGTATTCAGCACCGAAATTTTAGTCAAAATGTGCTCATAGACAGTCATCAACATATCATCATGCTAACCTTCTCTAAGGGTTCATCAATCACAACTTTAGTGTCTTCCCAAACTATTGAAACAGCTTCTGGTGCTATGGCAGCGAGAGCATGGTTTATTAATTCTTCCAGTTCATCGTCATCCATTAGACCATCGAACCAGGACTCTACTGCAGACAATTTTACTTTAACGTCTAAGAATAAACAGACAGAAGTACTGTTTACGACTGGAATTGTTGTTGTTGCAGATACGGAAAAGTTCAGCAAGTTCGCCCTACAAGTATAGATAAATATTAATAAATATAAAACGTTGTTTAAAAAAGAGGTTCAACTAATCAAAATTTGCATGATTTTCGAGAAAAGCGTTGCAGTTTAAAGCAAACAAGTCAGTGCTTTGAGAATCACTCTCTACTGATGGAAAGTTTTTTATTTTGTTCAAATCAAAATACTTGAATTTTAAGGCCCATACCTTTTCTGTACATCTGACGTACAAATTTTACTAAAACATATAGTTTACTTCATACACGTACCTAAAATGGCCTGCACCCCAGATATCAAATAGGTCTCCTATGTTGCCAGTGATATTGTACTCTCCTACGACCGATACGTTGCTAAAAGTTAAATTCAATAATCCAATTTCATTTGTTGTAAAGTTAATGTTAGGAAAAAGCCTCAGCTCACGATCATCCAAGTTTGCTACTGTGACATTGTTTATTTCTCCTTTCATCCTAAATAAAAAAAATATTTACAGCATATTTCCAACATCCTATCGTCAAAATTTAATACGGTTTATTATTACAGACTATTAACTATTATTACTATTAACTTTTCGCAAAGAATTCATTTCTTTTGCCAAAAAAAAAACAATCGAGGTAGAAATGTAATTACCACCCCTGTTTTCCCTAGAATGTTTTTTTAGAGTTATATTGATATAAGATTTGGTAGGTCTATGTCTAAGGTCGGCCCTAGATGTTGCCATTACTTGCCAAATATTTGTCAAATGTAAACAAGTGCAATATCATATATTTCAGGTATCAATACAATCGAAAGCATGTCTTCACCTACCAAATGTTGACCAAAGCTATAAAAAAACCCTAAACCCTAAACTCAAACTCTAAGCGATGCAGAAGAATTAGAGTAAGAAGAGATTTAGATTAGGGAGATCCACTATCACCAACATTCTTTATCTCAACTCGACAGTAAAAGAAAGTTGGAATACAAGCTGCAAGAATATAGTCAAACAAGGCAAATGATGGCCTATGCTGATGGTATTGTGATGTTGAAGAGGATAAAAGGTAATATACTAAGAATTTAGAAAGTGCATCTAGGAATAAAGGGTCAGCTTAAGTGATGTATTGCCAAAGGAGTGTAAGCCGGTCCAGATAATGCTTGGTGTGGATGGTGCATTCGAGAGCATGTTTTCGTTTGCCGCATATTTGCTATTTGAAGAGGTATTTGTCATGTTCCTATATGTCACACCATTTCAGCGAATTAATCTGCAACGTTCCACAAATGTTTCGCGAGTAACCACATCCGCCCTTAGAAGAAGTTTGTGGTTAGTTGATAACCAACGAGCAAAAGCAATCTAATTTTCATTTAACACATTAAGTTTGTCAGTTTATTTTAATCATATACCTCTTAACATTGATGTAACTTGAAAAAAACTATTATTGGTTAGTCAGTTCATGGAGTTTTGTTAATTCTAGAGTATATCTTATTAGTATTAGATATTAATTGTTCTTAACTTACGATAGGGCTTCATGCTTCAAATCCAAATCTAAGTGATCCGAGAATATGGTCGAGTTAAATTTTAGGAGCTCAGTCAATTCATCTATAAAACTTTTCAAATCTTCTAGTGACAAATCCTCTGAAACGCACACGAATATAAACTTTTCTTACGGGACGAGAAATTGTAAAAAGTTATCACGAAAATGGTTCCATTTTACAGAAATCTATTTAATTTGTGTGTAAAAGCCCCAAAATGCTGCTGTTTTATAAACTAGAGGTTTAGTTAATTAGTTTCTAATATTTTTCTAACAAGAAATGTCTTTCACACAGGTTTATTATTAAGTAAAAAAATTCGACAGGGGTATTTGTTTATAATAAATGTATCTCTTTAACTAAATATTAAAACAAACTTGGTCTAGAAGTTCATGAAAGGTGTCGTCCCCATTCATATTTACGGCACTGGCCCATATCTACGCCACTGGCAAGTGAAATGCAAATAGGTATTATTTTGTAAAATTTTATAAGCGTTTTAAGGATATTTACTAAAATTAATTTTTTTCAATACATTTGGAAGCCTTTATCTTGAAAATGGTGCGTTTCTAGGTATATACAAACTTTTTTTCTCACTTTTTAGCTCGAGAATGTGCCAATAAAGTTTATACACATCATCGTGTCTTAAAAAAATAATTAAATTATACAAAAAATTCAAGTACAATACAACCTATAGAAAATAGTTCGTCAACCTACCTTCTGTATTATTTTCATCTTTCGTTTGTATACATATTTTTAAATTTCCACTAACTATGGTCTGCAGAGACAAAATGAGTATGAAAATGAAAATATACCTGAAAGAAAAAAACAATTGTTAAATTAATTATATAATATTTGTCTCTTTTTATAAAAAAATTAACTACATAGCAAAAAAATAGTTTACATAGTTGTTTTATAATTATATATAAGAAAACATCATTACGTTGAATGTACATACTTTGTGGACCTTTTACATTCAATTTTTTTTTTGGATGAGTTATGAATCACCCTGTATATTTTAGATATGTATTGTATACCTATGCATTTCAAAAGCCTTATGTATTAGTAAAATAGGCGTTTATGATGCTATAAACTTAATCCAAATGTCTTTAATATTGCTGCTAGAGACGTTTGGACATATGATTTTAAACAGTGTCTTTTTTGTTTACAGTTTGTCTTGAAAAATGATTTCAATCTAAACACAAGAATTTAGTATTGCGATAGTCAGATTCTGACCCATTATTCTTTTTTTAATATGAATATTATCATCACTTTAGACGTGATATATTTATTAGATTAACTACAAATGTATAATGTAATCAACAAACTACTTATGAATTTATTTATAGGTATCTCAAACTACTACTAACAGGCTAATAATAATATATGTGCAGTTGATAAATTATTTCTTTATTACTTTACTGTATATAATCTAGCAATTTTACTCGCTTACATTAGTTAATAAAACAAAACTGCAGTTTACCCAATCTACCTTTATTTCCAATCTTTCTGAACTGAGTTGCATTTTCTGAACATACCAGTCAATTTAGAACAAGGACTGTCAGGAATGTCAGCAAAATTTAACCGAATTTCTTCACCATTTACTTAAATACTTTCATTATTTTAGAGTATTTTCATGACCCAGTGATTAAATTGAAGGTAATTTGTTTGGGAATGGGGTCAGTTTTAAAAAAAAAACAGTTTATTGGTTAGTCGACGTTTCGGCTATATTTAAGCCTTTTTCAGGACAATCCAAAAAAGGTTTTCCGCGTAACAAATAATCTAAATAATGGGGAGTAAAATAGGTGGTATGTTGCTCCCATTATTACTCCCCGTTATTTAGATTATTTGTTACACGGAAAACCTTTTTTGGATTGTCCTGAAGAAGGCTTAAATATAGCCGAAACGTCGACTAACCAATGAACTGGTTTTTTTAAAAAACTGACCCCATTCCCTTACCAAATTACCTTCAACTTTCATTATACCTGTATTTTAAGATTTACAATCTATTTTAAATCTGGAACTTGAAACTTTACCAAAATCTTACTATCACAACATTAAACTCAAATGCTTAATAGATAAGTTTATACATTTTTTAATACTTATCTGCTTGTACGATAAAATCTTTTTTTGTCGCCTTAAAACATTTATTTACATTCTGGAACAAATCAACTTACCACTCAACCAAAGCTCATTTCGTTTGTAACAATAATTTATTTTTATTTAAAGTACTATTCTATTTGTTATACCGAGGCCTAGGTACCTGGTCATCACACGTTACAGAGTTATATTGTACTTTATTAGTCCTATCCTGCCCTTGTTGTTCTTGGGCTAGACTCTGTGGAAGCGGACTCGCTATCAGAACGCCTGGGCCCGACCTGATATTCGGTTCTTGTTACTGATACGACAGACTTCAATATATCAGCATGGAAACACATATCATTATCAGTACTCTTCGATTTAAAATATAATTTTGCAATATGTATAATTTTGATTACAATGGACAAGCATATATATTATTAACGCACAATCGTATCCAGTTAGAAATGATGGAGATAATACTTTTTAAATCGCCTATATAAACATTTAACTAATTCTTACATGTTTTATAATTTTTAGTCTTCAAATTCACTGCACTTCATTAGTAGGTATAACAAAGCAACTACATATTATTTAGCAGTCGCATTTTTTTATCGTAATCTTGTCGCTATTCGATACACCTAATCATTAGTAACATCCTCTCGTACCTAATTTGAATACTGTATTATCAATCGTATCTGTTTATTTGATAAGTTGTGCAAACATTACTTTTTTTGTGAGCGGATTTTAACAGGTCTGTATTCAGGTAATTTATGTAGATATTAGTAAATATTACGTCAATCTGACATACGAATTTAGGTTCTATTATTATTTTTTAAACTAAATAATGCCATTGTGTCAATCTTGACATGTTTATAAATAGTTGAGCTTTTCTACCATCTACCTTTACAATGTCGTAGCTTCCGATCAGATAAGTTCCTCAAGGATCAATTTTGAGCCCGCACTTTTTTACTATTTCTACAAATGATCTAACTGAATGTCTTGTCGCCAATTACAGTATACAGACGATTGTAAGTTGCACTGATCACAGACTACTGGATTTCAAGGTAATTTTGGCTAATTGTGTAGCTGGAAATATCTTATCAAATAAAGTCAAACAACGTCCTTTGATATAAAAGATTTAGGTGTACGAAAGTAGTCTTAGTTAATAATACAATTTAATTAAATTGAAAATAGGAAAAGCGACGTTATTTTCTTTTATTTAATTGTTCTTTATCACACATAATCACTGATTAATTTTTAATTTCGAAGTAAATTGACAAAACACTAAAATGAGAGAAAAATGTCGTTCAAAATATAGCCCATTAGCACTAATTCCACAACCAACAATGTTCCAATCACTGTAGACACAATGAAGAAGCTACTCATGGTAAAATATATACATTACGTTCATCGGCCATCTAAAAAAAAATACGTGTTAGATATTTGTCCAGAGGCATAAATTTAGTAAGTAAAAAATTAAACAGGTTGAATAGATTTATATTCCTATACCTACAATAGAAGTTATTTTAAATGTTTTATAATTATGTACTTATACAGGGTTTTAGAAGTTTGACTGCCTTAATTTGAACAGACGATGGAATACATTAAAATAAATGAAAAAACCTTATATGACATGGATCATAAACTCAACCACTTCCTGGATAAAAATGATCAAAATCGATTAATTAAGGAATATTGACATACGTGCATATAATACCATAAAATACAATGTTTATCACTGTTTTTAAACTTCTCTATGCTTAATTCTAAAAAATAATTAGTGTTGTAATAAATTTGAAATTCGATAAAATTCATATCGAGCAATGTGACAACGGCCCGGTGGATAAAAGGAGGTACTAAGTTGTCCAGAAATACGCAATTCAGTTGGTATCTGGAATTGGACCGTATCCGAGTGTTTTTACGTACTTCTATTTTCTTTTCTTGAGCTGTTTTCCAGCGAGTGCTAGAAATTGGATTCGAAGGTGTCGTGAATTTTGAGGACAAATAATTCCAAATATTTCGAATTTTCACCTCCAAGACCGGCGGTGACAACATTTTTAACATTAAGGCGATGTTTCGCATTGTATTAGCTATGTCCTTTCCAAATTTGGTTTAGAGCAACTCTCTCGGTTTCGTGAATACAATACCTATGTACGTTTTCAGCTACGAAAATTGAATCATTCCAAATATTTCGAATTTTCACCCCCAAGAACGGCGGTGACAAAATTTTTAACATTAAGGCGATGTTTCGCATTGTATTAGTTATGTCCTCTCCAAATTTGGTTTAGTGCAACTCTCTTGGTTTCGAGAATACAATACCTATGTATGTTTTCAGCCACGAAAATTGAATAATTTAATTGCAAATATGTTTTGTACATGTGCGTTTAAAAATAACTGAATTTTACTTTTTGGTAGTAATTGCTGAAGTAATGGCAGTCAAACTGATATTAATTTATCAAATTTATTAGTGATACAAATTTAAACAACAGTTTTGATGAGGAAAATTCATTTTAGTTAATAAAATTCCTTCCTTTCATTAGTTGAAAACTGTGTTGCTAACATGAGATTTAATTTATTAAAATTATAATGGTTCTATTTCTAATAAGATTTGGACAACTGACTTTTATAAACATTTATACTTATAATACACATTAGGTACTTCTTATAAATATCTTAAACAGATATGACTTTGTAAGACAACTTACCTTCAGAAATTCTTCATCGTAACATTTTTATAATACCTTGTTTTATCCATGACCATTATGGGTATTTAAAGTAATTGTAATTGCACCTTTTTTTTTCATCATTTCAAAGAAAATATGGAATAAATTTAGTAGATGAATACGTAGACGTGTTTGCCAAATATGAATTCAGTTCAATTATCGATTGGTTCGTTCTGACCAACGTCATGAAGTAAGCTACAGAAATATTCAGTCGTAAGTAAAACTTCTAGGCCTCTGTCAAACTGAACAGCGATTTATATTATATGTAGAAAGATATTTATACCATTCATTACAAATAAGTAAAAAAGTTATATTTAATTACTTTTACTGTTTAAATTTCTTTGCGGGGATGGCGTAGCTTATAAAATCAAAGGCTGCGTAAATATAGAAAAAAATACAGTTTCTCTACTAACAGTTGGCAATGACTGTTACCGTTCATCGGCAGGTGGCGCCACCTACTTAAATAAACAGATCGATGAACTATATAACTATGCAGGGAATTTCGATATAATAATTGCACATATTTTGTGACAAATAGGTGTATAAAATCATACACAATTGGTATTCTTTGTATATGATGTAATTTATTTCATGTTCATTTAAAATCTAATACTTTGATTCGTTCATATCTGTGGAAGATACATAAACAAACAAATTTTGATAACAAAAACGCAGATTTTTCGAAACCTTAGCTATATAACGTGTTCTTTCAACTATTCAATTTTTTTCTGAGGTGAACAGGGGAGTGAAGGAAGAAAAAATACATTTAAAAAATTATTTTTATTTACTTTAACACCGAAAAAGTTAACTCTCGGATGCTGATAGGGCTCAGGGCAGCATCCTTAAGTAACTTTCAAGAACTACGCATTCTGAGAGATACTGCTTATCTTACACTTTACTTGCTATTTTGTTACAAATATATTACATGTACATGTTAATATTCTTCGTGGTCGCCTATTTAAAATAGATTAGGAGAGTGGTGGTTACTCGGGGTGTCCACTGGCTTTGGGTCAAGCAATACAACTAGCGATTACATTTAAATAGAAGTAGACGTTTTTGTGTTCTTATTTAGGAAAATTAACACTCTCCTAATCTATCTGGTAATACTAATTCGGAATTATCTATTATTGTCCCTTAATATTATTACATTGTTATTGATATTTACGATTTATCGCCGTTTTTGGGGTAGAAGGGAGGATTGAGGATAAGCTCATATTAATCTTTGCTGCCTTGATATTCAAAATTTTTAAATAATGTTGGGTGCTTCATGAAGAATGGGATACATTTTGATAGGAGATTCTTGGGGTCAAAATAATATGAATTTTGTATTCATTATTGAGATTTTCAGGAATCATTGAGGACTGCATTCGATTACATACCTCTCCGAAATGGTACAATATTCCTGAATATATTACACAAACAAAGGATTATTAGTTGTTTTGATGAAAAGTATTAGACTTCAGTTACGACAAAAATTTGGGTATTAAAATATGTCAAAAACCAAATCTGAAAACATTAAACGAACATTAATGAATCAAAAATCAAGTTTATCTCATATTATTAAGTTTCTTTACTTTCAGTGGCTTGAAATCAATTTGTCAAAGTTTCAATATTTGTATGTCACAAATAAGCACAAAATGAAGATTATTTTTCTATCTCTGTAAGAAAAATTTCGGAAAAATTTCCAAAATTTAAGGTTAAGACGTTAGCTATGTCAGTATGAAATATTTTTTGTTAGTCAAAATTAAATTTATAAAGTCAACCCCTTGACGGATCCTTTTGGAAATGGGTATTTATATAAAAAAAATTATGTTTAACCCTATAATGCTCAAAATCGTGTTTGCGAGGGAGTATCTTTGAACCACAGGCACCATTGCACCTAGTCGAGGAATCAAATCAAACTACTAGACTTCATGTCCACGAAAACGGACTTCCAATATCAATGTTACTGAGCATGCGCATTAAAGGTAATTTTATGTAAGCGAAGTAAAATTCCTATTAGAGGAATCTTTAAAGAGCTTAGAGATGCGAAAGACATCCAATTCCTATGAATCTTACATATGAAGAGTTTTTTAGGTCGCTTATCGCGAATCTGGTCTCAGAATCACGAAATTCAAAATGGCGGATCCAATATGGCGGACAGGAAAATTGAAACGTCTTCAAAATGCATGAATTTTTTTGTAATGGGGTTTTTTGGGTCTATGATTATGAATCTGAACTCTAAATCACGAAATTCAAAATGGCGGACAAAAAATTAAAATGTCTTTAAAATGCATGAATTTTTGTGTAGTGGGGTTTTTTGGGTTTCTGATTACGAGTCTGAAGGCATAATTACGAAATTCAAAATGAGTATTTTCGTTTTATTCAATGTACATGTGTGTCATCTCATTTAAGGGGGTGGAGGGGGAAAGGAGGGTGAGGGGGTTGGTCCGTTAGGGTGGAAACGATTCAGTATTGCTAGTAGGTACTGAAAAAAAATTTTCAGCCAAAAATAAATTAGGCCAAAAACCGGCCTTAGGGTACCCTCCTCCTTTTGGACAGTATTCGAGAGATGAAGGTAATAAAGGTATTCAGAATCGAAAGAGAAAGTTTCAAAAATGTTTCCCCTTTTTTAAGGCTGGTCAAAATTGGTCAAGCTAAAAAATTTGAAAATTAACCCAAAGATTCTGAGAATTTCAAAGTTTGATTTGGCCAATTCTAAGACTTTTGTCCTTTGATATTTTCCGAGAAAACACGCCATAAAACCGTCGTAAAATTTGATGCCACCATTTTCCAGTACAACCGCCATTTTGGTTCATGACTAAATCGCTCATGTTTTAGGCATGTAGAAAGATTGGAAATACGAAAAAACTGGGATGGTTTCAACTTGAAAGTCTGTTTCCGTGGTCTGTATGATTTTTTTTTTCAAATTCTGTGGGCGCCACCTGAAAGAGCATCTCCAATAACATAAAGTCTAGTAGGTTTGATTTGATTCCTCACCCGTGTGCAATAGTGTCCTTAGTTCAAAGATACTCCCTCGAAAATGCGATTTTGAACGTTAATGTGACAGAAATACTGAAATAAATAAAAAAAAAACAGTAACAAAAATTGCCACAATTAAATAATCAATAATAATATCTTAATCAAACTGCATTCAGTTTCTTTCGACCCAATAATCTTACTAGTGTATTGTTCAAGCTTTTTCAGTATAATTTAATTCAGGTGTAAATTTTGCTAAAATGAAAGCCGACTACTTTGTCCCTAAATTTCCAAAACGCCTTGCGAGAAAACGCGGTTATAAAAATAGTACGTGATTATTACTTTAATTTCAAGACAATAAGCTATATGAGCAATTGTTAGTAAAACTGAACGCAACATCGGATATCGCAAAACCTACAAAACTATATACAAAAATCGTACAAAAAGTAGTCTACGACATGTGGAAATCACCCCTCAGAATCCTCGTGAAGGTCTTCTTGAACTGCTGGTTGGCCAAGGCGTAGCAAAATGGGTTGAGCGGACTATTGGCGTAGCATAAGAAGTAGGAAAACATATAAACATGTCCGTTGATGCATGGGGGATCGGTGCAGAAGCCTTCCACTAGCGCAAAGACATGGTAAGGGGTCCAACATACAACGAAAGCTCCCAAAATGAAAGAAATCGTCCTTAGAGCCTTCCTGGCTCGGTTCTCTGACTTAGACTTTTGCCTGCCAAACCCGCCTAGTGGCCCGATAGTCTTCTTCCTTCCCTTCAGCCTCTTTCCTATAGATTTCACGAACACCCTTTTCGGATTGTCCATGGAATCTGCTTTGGAAAACGCTTTATTACTATTGGCCTGCAGAGGCGCCACCAACGCGTTACCTGTTTGGCTGACACCTGAAACGCCGCAGGGAGTGCTCGGTTCTGTTAAGGTCTTTGGATCGGTCTCGTTAACAACGGAGGTGATCGGCCTGTCCGAGCTTATAGTCACTTCGGTCTGCAGCTTATTGTTCTTCGGCTCCGATTGCTGAGGAGCCTGCGGATTTTCTACATTAGCGATATTATTTAAGGGGTTGTCGGTTGGGGAGGGGATAACAACGGAACTCTCATCCATGAACCTCAAATCGGCGCTATCAAGGCCTAGGAGCAAATCGTACGTACTTTGGGTTTGCTTTAAGCTACAGGGTCTCTTAGTATCTACGGGGGGTTGCAGGTTGGTGTCACAACTTTTACTATTTACAATGACGGGTATGTCTGAGGGTCGCTTTGGCTTGTCACCTACCGTGTTCACTTTGCTTTTCTCTTCCGGGGGCTTTAGGGTTGGTTCCCTCTCTACGATTTTCAGCAATGTAGGTTTCTCGGCCACGGGGCGCGCCGCTGTGTTTTTGGCAGGGGAGATGTCCCCGTTTACCTTGTTCGTGCTGTTATTGAACACGTGCAAAGGGGCGCTAGTCTGCATGACTATACCTACAATGGAAGTCCTCTTCTTCGTCGCCAGGATGGAATGAGGCTTATCTTGCATGGGGGCAGTGCTGTCTTCGTCAGAGTCGAAAGCAGGACTGCTGCTCCGTTCGGACTTATCCGTTTCTTGAGCGGGTTTGCACATGGGCAGAGAAAGGTTGCGTTTCTCGCTTGCGGTGGTCGTGGTGGTGGTGTTGGTGGTGCTGTTGCTGATGGAGCATGTGGTCTTTTGGCTGGAGTTGGAGTCTCCCGATCCTCCAGCCTGATATGAATCTAGTACGGCTAAGGTGGCCTTCTCTAGTTGCTTGTCGTCGACGAATGCGGCGTTGGCAGCGGGAACGGGTTTCTCCTGACTCAGTAGACTGCTCTGTGTCTTGGATAAGCCTATACCGGCTGCCCTACCCGCCATTCCGCTCATCGCGCCCGCGCTCAGGGCAACCATGGATTGCATCTTGCGTTGCTTAGCTTCACTCTTTTTCTGCATGTCGAACGCTGTTTTGTATATACCTGAAATAGCACGAAACTTTTATTCATTTAATTAGAACCAAAAGAAATTCTACGAAAAACTGTTTTTATGAACAGACATTCAAATAAAAATTATAAATATACCTCACCTCCATAAAGTATGAAGAGAACAATTAGAGTAGTCCAGTAGTAAGAAATGATGAGCGCTGTGTTGAAGATGGGCTCTTTGAGGAACTGTACTGCACACTGTCCCGGTAGCAGATCTCTGTAGCCTATGAAATGCTCCCAGCCGAATATGCAGATGAAGAACAGCAAGGCCGGAATGATCCAGATGATGGTAACCATCCAAATCACCCGCTGTTTCGTCCGCCAACCGCGGTACTTGGCGGCGATCTTCACTGAGCAGAATCGATCGATGGTGATCAGGAGGACGGTATACTGGGAGACCAGACATACGGTGTAGTCCACGGACAGCCACAGATCGCAAAGGAGGGGACCGAGGTTCCAGTATCCCATTAATACGTATACCGTGTAGAAGGGCATGGAAACTGTTCCTGAGGAATAATTTTTATACTGAATGTAACTGTAAAAGGAACATTTATATTGCTGACATTTTTTTTATAAATTTAAAACCTATCGAAAGAAAACCAAACTAATGTTGTTCATAAAATGAATTGGAAATGTCACTGGCCAAACAAAACAATATTTACCCAAACGACGCCGGTGGCTGATGAGATTCGCAGCAATCTCATAATTTTTGCTCGAGTCCGTAACAACTTTGATAAACGTGTTAGGTTGTGTTTAGAAAGAAATGGCAATTATTTTGAAAATGTCCTTTAACTAAGTTTTTTGTTTTTTCTCTTTTTGATAATAAATTATTTCTTAGTTTCGTTTTCATTGTACTTCTATTTAATAAAAGTTTCTGCGACATTCAAACAGTTATTTGTGCAACTACTGTAAAGAGTGTGTATTTGTTGTACGATGCATGAAGTTTGCAGCTCGAGACGAAGTTGAGAGCTGCAATCATGTTAAGTGCAACAAATATGCTTTTTGCACATGTTGCACGCAACATTTTTTCTACGATTGTTTTTATTTCAAATTTTATTTAACAGTATTTTACATAATATTAAAATTTTAACTGACAACTGGAAATTAATTGCGCAAATTGTCAATGTCAGACGTTAGGTACTTATGGATATGCTTAGATTAAACTTGTAATCAATATTTTTTTTGTACTACTGTAAAAAAAGTTAAACTTTTGGCACAGTAGGTAGTGCAATAAGTAGTAAATTTTGCACGATCGTAGAAAAAAACACTTGTAGCATGTCCACATATTCATCATTAGTAAAATTTGGCATAATTCTTGTTAATTTACACCCAAAAAGTATTTAGCTGATAACAGTGACAACTTACAGAAGAGTTAATTGTGACAACTGGCATGACAGCAGCACACTTAGTTTTTCTTTGATTGATTGCAATCATATACGGTGTGAGGTGAATGGTAATACATTTTATTTTTTTATTAATAAACGAAAAGTTTTAAAGGAAAATTGCTAGAGAGGTAAAAGTTTCTAAAAGAACCAGTTTATCTAATGCGTATTTTTGGATATCGAGTTTTTACGAAATATAAAAGTTATGGCAAAAAATGGCTTGAGGGGTGGTTATTTCAACCCCTTTCGAGGGGTTAAAATTTTCGAAAAATAGTTGAAAACTCGCATCTGTATTAGTAAACAACCTGTAAAAAATTTGTTATTTGTACCTCGTTCGGTTTTCAAATTACAGCCAATTTTCATAATTTTTTTGGAAACTTTGATGGCCCATATCTCTTCAGGGGTGAACATTTTACTAAGGCGATTTTTTGCAGATCGTGTTCTTTTGAAATGTAGATTCACTGGTATCATTTATGCTACTCCATTCAAAAACACCCTGTATAAATAATAAAACCACTCACCAATGAGCATGTCCGTTGCAGCAAGCGAAGCTATGAAATAATTGCTAGGCTGTCTAATGTTCCTGTCCACAATGAAGGCGAGAAGAACCAATATGTTCCCTCCGACTGTGAGAATGATACAAATCCCTAAGCTGATCGCTATCAGTATGGTCTCCAATAACCCGAAGGGCGCTAGTACCGGAGTTATCGTCGGGTCAGAGCCGATGGCGTTGCTGGTGTTCGATTCGTCCGTGCCGTTAAATTTGCCGCTAAGCCAGTCGATGCCGTTGGCGAATATATTGAGCGGGTCCTCGTCTTCCCAGGTCCAGTTTTTGGTGGCGTTGAATGAGTCGTAGCATTCCGTCAGCGTCAGGATGCCGCTGTACACTGTCTTGCATAGTTTATCTTTATGCCTTTGGAGCTTCCTGAAAGAAGAAAGCAAATGTTGCGTACGTAAAATTTAGTATTAATGTAGGAATTATTCAGGACAAATGTAGCAGATTATAATCAAACTTATGTTTTCTTGAAAGAAAATTGTAGCAGGTCACAGAAAGGCGTAGTTGGGAAGCAGCACGATAGATGGAGCCACTTACGCTTTGTGTATACACTTCTCTTTCTGAGTAACGACACTAAAGCAGCTGGATTATTCGAACAACATAATGATGAGGACTATTAATAATAACCGACCTATATCTGGTTGGTGAAACTTACGAACGATCGTAGCTGTTGTATTATAGTAGGGTCGTATTCGATGCAAAGTAGAGCAAAAAGTTGTCGGTCTTTTATCAAAGGAAAATCGTGTCATCATTTTTAGGAGGCGTAAGATGAACCATTTCAAATTTAAAATGAAATTCAATGTTAAATCTGAATACCGCTGCATACGCACTGTGTTCTGGTAGTAGCTGACTAGCTGTAGTCGCCCAGGTGCATTGAGTATACGAAGTGGTCTTGATCGTAAAATAGAGAGCGCCTCCAAAAAAACAAGTAAACAACAATGGCGCACACAGAGGTAAGATGTAGTACATATGCGGAAATTAAAAAACAAATTGGATTTATAATAAATTACATTTAAAATAAATAGTTTATGAGAATAAAGGAATTTTTGTAGGAACAAGGGTGCCAGACGTGAACTGATCCCTTTGTCCCTTCATAATGTATAAAGAAATTATTCAATTTCTAAAACTCTTAAAAGCGTACTGCATTGGTTCTCTTGACAGGCAATGATTTATTATTTTGCATCGAATATGATCCTACTATAGGTGTTGTGAATTTGGAACAAAATATTTTTTATTACTCTGAAATATATTTATATCCAAATATATTCTTAAAATAGGTATACACCATCATTTGACCAAATTCATTCAATTTTGTATTAAACAAACGATACATTAATATACAATACAAAACATGTTTCTATAAAATCTATGTAAATCATAAAATTAAACATAGAATTCGTTTAACCGCAAGAATTAAATATTAATTTTAACTGCTGCCTAGTTTTAAAGTAAGAAATTATATTTCTGGGTAAGTATTTAAATAAATAAATAATTTACTTGAAAGAAGAAAATATTTTCTTGCGTATATATGTATAATCGTGCGATACGTTAAAATCAAATGTTGTACATTTGAAGCAAGCATTTTTTTGCGTGTAACATACGAAAACTTAAGAAATCGACTACTAAGAATATTTTATATTGATGCCCAATTGAAGAACCAAGGTCAAATATTTAGATATTTGATGCAAAAAAATTAAATATATCTCTATTTTTGCACTGCTCAAGAAACTTTTCTCAGTGTATAAGTTACAGTCTCACAGACGTAAGTAGAAAGTCTTGTATCACATTTTTTTAGGATTTGTTCTGTTCCGAGCACGTGTCAAGATATCTCTAAATGAGAAATTCATTACTTCCGATCAACCGATAAGCTTAGAGGAAACCGAAACTGCAATGATTTTTGGACGAAATTAATTTATAGTGCTACCAATCGTCTATAAGCGGTGTATTAGAAATATTTATTTTTTAAATTTAGACACTTAACCCCTAAAGCCATTTTTAAGTAAATTAAAATTGGTGTTACTTTATTAATAAAAATAAACTGCAGTATTTAATCAATTGTTTTGGCTTTAGGTATAGTCTTTCGCAACATAAAAAAAAAACTGATGGAACATTTCCTTTGTCAGATTATATTTCTGGAGATCCAAATGGCATGGGCCTTATCCATAGAAAACTTTTTGTGTTATTTACTATAAATCATATTTGTTTCATTTTTATTTTGATTTAATATAAAATTATTAAAATATTGTAATTAATAATTAATTTTAGTTATTTTAGACCTTGTGGAAATGTTGCTCTGTATTTTAATTCCTTAGTATATAATACGCTATTTTTTATTAGTTCACAAATAAGTACATATGAATTATATTAATTGAACAGAAGTCAAGTAGTACCACCCTTATTTTAGGATTACTATTGTAGGAGACCTGCCTTACACAGAACGTTCATGAAGAAAGGAACAAATTCGTTGAAAATTCAGATAATTACTTTATGGAAAAACGCTCGGACACGTCGATTAGTATTTTTAGTTGCGGATTTTGTGCTGCCATCTGACCACCGATGTTCCTATCGTAAATTTCGACTTTTTGTCGGTATACTTATTCTGAACGTTTTGGCGCTATTTGTGTTGGTTACACTGACTTAAGAAATTCATCTCGGTCAAAAAATGGAATTATGTCCTGAACATTTCCGTTCAAAATGTATGTTTTTGGGGTCCTCAATCGGAATGGAAAATGTGATTCGAAAATTGGTTCAAGCGCACGCAAAGGTGTATTGATCTTCATGGAGAATATTTTAAAAAACAATAAAACCATATACGATGATTAATTTCTTTTTTGTTCTCTATTCCGGAAATATAAATGGCAACCCTTGAATTGTTTGGCTGCCAGTTATTGATTTAAAATTAAATTTCAATAGAATTTCTGTACGCACTGTTTTACACTGACTTCTTTATAATCGTAAATATGGTCAGTCAATTAACAATTGTAGCTTACTCTCACGGTCATTGTTAGGTACATTACCACAACGATTACAAGTTACGATTTCCGCAACTAAACTTAGGTACTTATTCTAAATGATAGTGATAATGAAATATTGCCCACGAAATACATTTTCCCACGATTTATGTCCTCTTAAGCACGGGGCTAAATCCAAGTTGTATTTCATTTGGATGAATTATTTATTAAAGCTGCGGTAAAAGTGAAGGTAGTTAAATAAATCTAGCAGCTGCAGCACATTAGTGACACGCGATTGATATTTTTTTTTAACGGTAAATATACAGTAGATGCGTACGTAATTGAAGGACTTTGTTTTCTTTTTAATTACGCACACGCAAATAATTTCAATTTCACAACATTAATAAAAAAAATAAATTATGCGTTGTTAATTATTTCCCCTTCATATTTCACAATGAAAAAATTCTTATTCTACACTTTTTCCAGATGTTAAGTACTTCAAAAACTGTCAATTTAATTTCAATCTTTGGAAACGATATTTAAATTTCAGGTTTCGCAAATATGATTTCAGGAGGCATCAGTTATTTTTCAAAAAGCTTAAATTGTTTAGCAGAAAACCTATGTTCTTATTGGCAGAGAGTAACAAGTTTTCTTCACGTATTTTTTTTTACAAATGTCAGCTATTTAGTCACAAAAATACAAGACTTCAAGACATTCAACACAAACGAAATTAAAAATTTTGGCAAATGTCACAAATTGACTATTTATAAAACAGAAGCACGTGATACACAGCAAAAAATCGCCATTTTTTTCCAAGGTAACTTTTTATTCATAAAGGTACAATTTTTGCTTATTCTAGATAATTTTACTAAACGATTGTTTTATGTTTAGATGGTTGCTGTTTTTGCTGTTGCTTGTGGCTGCAGATGTGACGAACTAGAGGACATATCCATAGAGCACATAGAAGAAAAAAATGATATTCTACTGGTTTATTTCATTTTGTCATATAGACTCAATAGAGCTGCATCCAAAACATCTAAATATTCGTCCGAAGAAAACAAGAATCAAGCGACTGTTTCTCCATTACCGACAAGGCAAATGTACCGTTTAACCTGTAGACATTAACACTATCGGAAAAACATCTGCAAGTATCGCCAGATGCCTGCAGCTAGAAAATCCAGAAACATATACCAGAGGTTGGAAGGGCAAGAAAGTAGCTAAAGGATATGTCGAAGATTTTCTTCAACAGAAAATCAATACTGGGAAGAAAAGATATCTATTTCTCTTAAGGAGGTATATCGGGGTCCGAGGGAAGTGAGGAGCGCAGGGAGGGTCCTATGCTTTTCTTATGAGATTAAAGCCCGCTGCCAATGTGAAAAAATTAAATTCTATTGAAATTATATATTTGCGATAAACATTATCTATATAGCAAAGAAATCTACTCATATGCACATAGCATACATATTGACTAATTAATAACATAAAAATATCATATTTAAGTAGTTTTAAATTATATTTAATGAACGCATAAAGACTATGTAGACGTGGCAACGGCGCTAATAATTGACTTGCGGTTATACACACTGCGAACCTACAGACCTCGGACATCGGAGATATTGCTCGTCAAATTCGGGTAAAGATGCGTACGCGTTCAAAAATGTATTGTGTGTAAACGTTAACTATGTACAATATAATTATTATATATAGCAAATATATCGTATTATCCTCGCGAAGATTTGTATCCTTTATTTAAAATCCGTAAATCATGTGAACTGGTAAAACAACGAGAATTATGTTAATTTAGTTCTAAAGAAATGAAATGACACTCGCGCCCATCTCTCGTCCAAGTAAAAAAAAAAAGAAAATGTTGGATACAATTTTGAAGGTTCTGTGATAGAAATTACATTATTACTCACTGTTCCTGTTTTTCATCTCTATTTTAGTAATGTTACAAAATTTTTGCAACTATAACTAATTTTTTAGATATAAAGTTTGCTGAGCAATATTTGTTCCTTTGTTATTCCGTACAAATGCTTTTATTTCAAGTATATTAATCAAGTAAACCTAAATATTGCTGGGTAATGATTACGATGTTTTTATAAACCATTAAATATATTAAAAGGATTTATCAACTGTATTTTTTATTCCAATAAATATATCACAGCTTCCTAGTCTTTTTTAATTAATCTACTTTTTAAAAACATTACAAAAAATCATCTGTTGTGGATAATTTATTGTTGATAACAATGTACATGGGATTTAGGAAAAATGTATATATTTGAAATCAATTTCAAAACAACTTTCAACAACAATATCTCAAAATCTAGATTAAAAAAATGTTCAAAAAATATGACGCACAGAGGAAGCACTGGATAATACGCTATATAAATTTCAAGTACATCTGTGCATTTGAGTAAA